TACTGTATATTTAAATATGGATTCTAAAAATGTCTGTGTTTGTGTGTGTGTTTGTGTGTGTGTGTGTGCGCGCGCGTGTGTGTGTGTGTGTGTGTGTGTGTGTGTGTATGCTTTTAGCTCCAAGTGGAGCATGGAACCTTAGCCCAGCTGACGTAAAACCTCTGTGAACGTAATCACTATTTGTTTGATTTAAGAAGAAAGTTGTCTATAACATAGAATATCCCTTTTAATGCCAGCATTCCTTAATCATAAATCATATACAAATATAGATATCGAAAAAATAACCCTGATGATTAAACAGGATATTATTTATGTGAAAAGGGCTCGTGTTACTGCCACTTAATCACCGAAAACAACCTGCATAATACTATTCTTTCTGTCCCTTATACGTTTCCGTAACGCATAAGCGAATGTGTTGTATTATTAAATTAAATATGTTTATTGAATAGTAATTTTAAAAAAGTTCAGTCTTTTAAATCTTGTGGACGTCTTTGACCATCGAAAATAAATATGTTTTTATTTCCTTCAGTCTCCGCCAGACACTTGTAGAAGGACGCAAGGCAAGCAATGTGAATATACAGCTAATGTTGTCCAACGTACAGAGATGTGAGACCATTGTCCAGCAGCTGTTGCTAATGGAGCAGGATGCCTTTAATTCGGTAACGAACGTATCATTTTTTTTTTAATGTAGGGATACACACACACACACACATACATACACATACATATACCACACACACAGGCTAGCTTTTTTTAGTAATACATAACCTTACGCAGTACCGAGACTTTTTTCAGACATTATTTTTTTCCCGCTTTATTGTAACAGACACTTTGTGGTAAGTCACGGCGCCTCTTTTACTATTTTTTTTTCGTCCATACTGGCGCCCTATTGTATTGTCTAGAAGAATCAATCCTCTGTACATATGCTTATTGTCTGCATTGGTAGAAACACGTTTAATAGTGTATACCTAATGTGTTGGCATGTGGAAACAGAGGTGAAGGAAGACAAAGCAAGACGATTCTTGATAGTCCCATGTCATGACATGGAAGGGTGTCGGCACACGAACCGATACAAGCTGTCGAAGATTAATGGTTGGCCCAGGCGGCAAGGCGCTCTCTGATGATGATATATGTTAGCACTTTTCCTTCTTTCCAGGCGATATTGCTATATTGTCCTACAAAGAGGCAGAGGAAACACAGCTCATGGCGATGGCACTTGTTAACCAACTCGCGTTAAGAAGAATCTTCCAAAATAAGTGCATGAGATGTCAGTGCCGTTGTTCATCATTGGCTACCCGGTCGGGACAGTGTTGGGCGTCTGTCTCCTTTGATCGCGTCAAAACTGCAGGAGTCCTTTTCGTGACTTTTGGTGGCCTGCAGTGCGACGCCATGTTACATGGCGCACATAAGCTAGTCACAGTTAAAACCTTAAGCTTCCTCATCGGGGATGCAGGTTAACGTGGTGATTTTTCCCACAGCAAAACAACGGAGCGGACCGTTATTGCCCGCCACAATGAAAATAGAGGGAAAAACCCTCCCTCCTACCTTCTTGGAGAGAGGGTGGTCGAAGCGGTGTTTACAGCTAGGCTGCGATATTTAATATGGGTGAAATACATAAATATTTTGTTTTTCTTCGTGGTTCTAGGAACGACCCGGGGATACCCACCCCGAGACACATGACATTGATTTCCGGGACACACAAAAATGCGTCCCATACCGGGTTTGCATGTTATTAGAATGCCGAACTAGGGGTATTGATGCCCCACTCAGACACTTGGTGTTTAAAGTCCGTTTAACAAAATTTGAATAGATGTTGTTTATACGAGTCCTGAAATTAAATTAAAAGGAATTGCCAAAAATGAGTAGACTATATATAGTAACATACGCATGTATTATATAATTTCAACGCCAAATTACAAGGACTAATAAGGAGCTTCCTACAAAGTCGGAGTACAACTTCGTTAGAGGCGAGGAACTAAGTCTGCATGTAAATGAGTCGGACCTGTAAAACAGATGTGCGCGAAACTCTTAGTTTCTGGAACAGGACTAGAGTCCAGAAGTGAACGAACAACCAGAACTTTCCGTCGGAGTTTACAGCCGGTGAACGCGAAGAAGAAAGAAGATTTGTGAAAGTTGCATTACGTAAAAAATTTTTTTACTGTATATTTTTAATTTTCATTTACACATTGTTTTCCAGACAGCGCTGACAAGTCTAGTTGGCAGTTTATCAGCCCATGCTGCTATCCTAGACAGGAAGATACAACAACTGAATGGGTCTCGTCAACCAGACACTCACATCTCTAACTGCTCAAACAGTTTGTCTTTGACAGACTCACAAGATCTTGTCGCCTGTTTGGGTAAATGTTTACAGCTTTGGTTTTGTCAGCGATTCTTGGGGCCGTCCATGTATAAATGAGACCCTAAGGGACAGTAACCAACAGTACCAATGTCGAAAGAGGCGTCTTATGGTCTGGCTGGGTCTGGTGTTGGCGACCTCCTCTCGTAAAACACAATAGCCACACAAAACAACCAACAAGTCTCTTGACGCGAGTTGGTTGAAGACTTATATTCTATTTGTGGATAAAACGCAATAAAGACAAACTATAGAGCTTGGTACCGTTGTGTCCAATCTTAAAAAAAAAAAAGCATTTGAAACACAAGTAGGGTTGTGCATAGAGTTGTCAACTGAACAAATTATCATCTGATACGTAGAAGGAATAGTTTTGATTATGAATAAGCAGGTACAGGAAATGCAATGGACCGGACAGATGTTTTAAATCAGCGGTTCTCAACCTGCCGGTCGCGACCCTTTTTTGGGTCGAACGACCCTTTCAAAGGCGTCTCCTAAGACCAACGGAAAACACCTGTTCATTGAAGTTGTGAAGAAAAATAATTGTTTGGGGGTCACCATAACATAAGGGAACTGTATTAAAGTGTCGCGGCATTGGGAAGGTTGAGAGCCACTGTTCTAAATGCTCTCAGAGAGGCAGGACGAGCAGATGATTCAAGAGACGATCGTGATTCAGCTACATTTGACAAGACTACAATAACTTCATGTCATAAGAGGCTTTGCCAGACATGAAAACTCTGGTCGCAAACCAATACAGAACTGGTGTCATCAGTCGCCACACGCTGAGGAAGATATTGCAATTATTTACTTGTTTGATGTGCAGTGAGGATGATCGGTTGCTTAACTAGCTAATGTTTTGAAAACCCACCCGCACTGGACTGCAGATTACCTCGCAACCATTTTATAGTGCCCCAGAATAACTGCCAAATGGCTGAATGTTGAATTAAGAATCGACATCACAGCACTCGAGACTCCGTCCCTATCTTCAGCAACAAGCGAAGAGTTAAACATTCTGATGGTTCCAGTAACTGTCTGATTGTATATCCGTCTCGCCTTTCCCTTGAGTGTCGAGCATCGGCCAGATCCCCTTGTAACTCCTCGCAGTACCATTCTCCTCAGACGGTAAAGATCTATCTGTGCCTCGGCACCATTCATTCGTTCCTGAACGGTCCTCACAACATCCAACTTGTCGTACATTAATTCACCGGTGCAGAACCTGCCAGTCTGTCTGCCTGTTCATTTCTAAACACAACGGCATGAATAGGTCTCGTCAGCCAAACACACACATCTCTAACTGCTGTAATGGCTGTAAGGTTGAACGTGGTTTCTGGGATTCATACCGGTTTGATTCTTATCCTTGAGATGTAAATCATAAAGACAACAATCTTGGAGAAAACCAAGAGTTTCTGTATGTAAGATAACCATCTTAACGTTGAGAATCAAACATGTACACATTCTGGAAACCCCGTTCAACCTTACAGCCATGTAGGTTATAAAAAGAAAAGTAAAGGACCATTCCCCCACGCCTTCATGCGTATTGGGCATATAGGGTGAGACCTATATTTTATTGACCAATCGGCACTCGTGGGTGATCTAGTCAGTATAACGCCAGCCGCGTTTACTTCCCTGTACTGCACCTGGTTCTTAAGGCTGGGTCAACCTAGGAGCCAGGATAAATTTTGACAAAATTCTGGCTCTGTCAGCACCCGAATCCACGACCTCCCGATCCGCAGGCGAGCATCTAGCCGCTACACCATATCGACTATCCATACAGCCACATAGCACAGTTATATCCGAGGGGCATCGCTAATAGATTTAAAGACTAAATGTGTCAGCGAAGTAAAGATATAGAAGATAAATAAACGACAAAGACAGACAATAATATAGATGTTATTAATTAAATCTACATTTGTTCAGTTTTTAGAAGTTGCTAAAAATGTCTATGAGATTAAATGGGTTTTTATATTCTTTTTATCGATACATTTTAGCTGACGATATTTTTATTTTATTTTCAATATATCTTATGTTTAGGTCTAGCTAGTACCCCTAGGGGCGCCATACCGTAAGGAACCAGGCATCTTGGGCACTCCTAAAATATTAGGGGTGCTAGACACCCCCCCCCCCCCCAACAGAACATTAGCAAGAAGGCTGTGTTCCCCCCACCCCTTTCCAACCATGCATAGACATGTGTTGTTTTTTTTTTTTAATATTGTTTATACACATCATATTATTTCAGATATATTTATCTGGCTTTGGACAATTAATAATAATAATCATTATTATTATTATTATCGCGCATTTGAACAAGGCTACGCTTCTTTCATGGCTGGTCAAAATTTAAGAATCCACTTTTTAATACAATATCTTTGTGGCAGTGATCCTGACTACTACTACTGCTGCTACTGATGATGTTGATGACGATAATAATTATGATGATGCTGTTAATATTATTGTCATTTTAAGTTTTACTATTGTTTACGTAACTACAGATCAGAAAAGCACTGGCAACAAAGAAGATGAATTTGACGAAAAGCATTCTAAAAGTCGTCAGCAAGTCATCGAGTCCACTATAGTTCGAGGAGGGCAAGTGACTTTCAATGACGTCATCGGTCTTACAGAAGCCAAACTATCTTTACAAGAAGCAGTCATCATGCCGATAGTATTTCCTCATCTATTTTCAGGTAATATATTTAATTTTGTATTCGTAATTGTACTGAGGGTACACGTAACGTTAGTTTCCCCACGCCCCGCCTATATACACACTAGCTCACTTCTGATTGGTAGTTCCTGAACCTGTCACCTTGGCAAAAGGTTATGGGGTGTTCCGCAGTGCCGTTGATATCAAGTTCTGTATATTTCAGCACACCAACGCTTTTAACAATCCAAAAACATGGAGAAACTGGCCCTAACGCAACACCCCCCCCCCCCCCCAACAGAGAGTGCTTCAACCTATGTCACAGGCATTTCTCTTTCTCGGAATGAAAACGTAACTGACAATGCAGAAATCAAACAACAGAGCAGGACACATCCGTAACCTTCGGTAAAGTCGACCAGCCCAAGAAAGTTGTGAATGAAAAGTGACCTACTCTATTTGAGGAGATTAACGCTACTTTAACCGTACTGAGTGGTATTGATATCTAGAGAACCGTAAAGCAGACACCGTTGTCAGTCAGTCATTCAGTAGCATGTCCTTTTCAGAACCCTGCTCCCATAACAACCCTCCGGAAAACTTCTCGATCACACAAGCAAGATGTCACGCGTCCGATACACTCCTCTGGAGATCATCCGCCACATCCTGCACCCATCTTCTCTTTGGCCTTCCTCTTCTTGTCTTTCCAGGAATAAACCCCTGCATTATTGTTCTCTCTAAACTATCGTGACGTTTCAAGTGACAAAATTTTTTCACTTTTCTGTGTTTTATCGTCTTAAATAGACAATCTTCTTCAATATTTAGTTCTTGAAGTATGGATGCATTTGTTCTTATTATGTTTTTCCTTCATGGCTGTTATGGTTTCTTGGCAAGTTTTGCAGAAGGAGTTTGCCATTACTTTACTTCTAGGCAATGACTGTACTGATCGGTGGCCAGCCATTGTCTCTATGGATGAGATCATCTGCCTATCGCCGCATAGTGCATGACCATAGCGAACAACAATCTGTCTTCTGCTCTCACACTCCATCCACCACCTGCTTCCATGGCTCCACGTAACCCTGATTGGGTGGAAGAGGGGGGGGGGGGGGCTAATGGGTAGCAGTGTAAATTGACGTAATTTCTCATGTGGAATGGCCAATAGCTTTTATTTTCCTATTCATTTTCCTTATCGATCAATCAATTTATTAAAACAAAACACACCAAACAAAATCGACTAACTTCAACCTACTGTGATTAGTATTGGTTATAATTGTGTTCTAGTTTCATAGCGCCAATTATGTTGCCTAAGTAATGTTAACTGCAACAAAACTAGTGGCTTGGACTGGTACTCTAGTACCTGGTGAGGGTGGTTGGGGGAGGGGTCTGGTAAACACTATAATATCACACACATATATAGACATACGTGTACAATTACACACATATATACACAGGCACATATGCACGCCAACGTGGGAGTGCATATGTACGTGTTTGCACACACACATACACACACGCATGTATATGTATATGTGGTGTGTTAGCCAGACGCTCTTCTGTGGATCGGAAAGCCATAGGTTCAGATCCAATGACATTTATTTGACAAGCATGGATCATAATACGTGGCGATACGCATTGAACATCCCGAGGAAAAGCAGACAGAGAATCATTAAACAGGCACTGAAATAGGAAACAAGTGGGTAGAGGATTCGAAGACGTTGACAAGCCAAACCAAATGTGATGGCCTGTATTCCATCCATGTTATTGAAACATTAAAACATTTAAAATGAATAGAGAACTAGGCTGCGACCCCTTTGTGAAGTTTCAACTGCAGAACAGGTTGAAGATAATTATACGTCATAAACAGAAGTGTCTGTGGTAGAGGAGAATATTCCACTTGATTAAATAGGAACTTGTTAACTGTTCAAGTGGCGTCCGAGGCTTAGGCGTTGCGAGTCCGACTCGTAATTCCAACGTACCTCGATTGAAACCCACTGCTGGCTACGGAGATTTTCATGACTGTATGGGGAATCGCAGGTCGACCCAGCCTAAAATGGCTACCAGGATATATGTCCCGGAGAAGTAAAGACGGCCAGCGTAATGCTGACCACATTACCCACCTAGTGCCATTTGGTCTGTAAAAAATATGGGTGCTCTCCCCGTATGCCCGATGCGCCTAAGGGCGTGAAAAGGGATCCTTCTTTGTGTGTGGTTATCATGCTATCTAGCAATAAATGTTTCGTCCTTTTTAGGACGAAATTTTTCGTTATTTGAAGCCCCACCCTGGCTTTTGCCAAGGGCCGCAATATAGGCAGGTCATAAGTATGGCCAATTGTCTGAACGCGGTTTCTGGGACCTCTCCAGGGCGATCCTCATCCACATGGTGGCACTTTGTGTCATCGGGTGTTTATCGCTTGTGTGATGTCCTAGTGGGGTAGAAAGTCAGTCAGTCAGTGTGTGGTTAACTGTTCAAGCTCATTTGGAATATGAAGCCACTTGTATTTGCCCCGGGGTGGGGGGGGGGGGGGGATTTTGTTGGGGATTATTGCCAGAAATATATCTTTAAATAATAATTAATCACGCAATCATCATTAGATAAGGAATGAACGAATGAAGGAATCAACTGACATTGTTGTACTTGAAACATTTCGCTAGATTGAAGCGTGTTCTGCGAGTCATTTATAATGACATCAAGTCATCGAAAAGCGGCTACTGCTTTCACTTCCATTCTGATGTAGTTTTCATTGTTTTTGGTTTGAATATATTAAAAATAATGTGGGACATTTGTAGTAAACTAGGTCTGACTTTTGAATCTGCATCGGACTGGCTGTTTTATATTTTATATTTTTATATTTTTTATAGACAGACCGACCGACCGACCGACCGACCGACCGACCGACCGACCGACCGACCGACCGACCGACCGACCGACCGACCGACCGACCGACCGACCGACCGACCGACCGACCGACCGACCGACCGACCGACCGACCGACCGACCGACCGACCGACCGACCGACCGACCGACCGACCGACCGACCGACCGACCGACCGACCGACCGACCGACCGACCGACCGACCGACCGACCGACCGACCGACCGACCGACCGACCGACCGACCGACCGACCGACCGACCGACCGACCGACCGACCGACCGACCGACCGACCGACCGACCGACCGACCGACCGACCGACCGACCGACCGACCGACCGACCGACCGACGACCGACCGACCGACCGACCGACCGACCGACCGACCGACCGACCGACCGACCGACCGACCGACCGACCGACCGACCGACCGACCGACCGACCGACCGACCGACCGACCGACCGACCGACCGACCGACCGACCGACCGACCGACCGACCGACCGACCGACCGACCGACCGACCGACCGACCGACCGACCGACCGACCGACCGACCGACCGACCGACCGACCGACCGACCGACCGACCGACCGACCGACCGACCGACAGACAGACAGACAGACAGACAGACAGACAGACAGACAGATAGATAGATAGATAGATAGATAGATAGATAGATAGATAGATAGATAGATAGATAGATAGATAGATAGATAGATAGATAGATAGATAGATAGATAGATAGATAGATAGATAGATAGATAGATAGATAGATAGATAGATAGATATCCTTGGCTGCCAGTGCCTAACCGGTCTTACAAAAAGTACTAGTACTAATAGGGAGTAAAGGCGGGCGGCGTCATGTTGAATACATCGACTGCTGATTGATCTACACAAATCTGAAGTCTTAGATTTTGTGCTCGATGTACCACTAATATGTTTCTTGCAGGTGGCAGAAAACCTTGGCGGAGAATTCTGTTATTTGGTCCTCCGGGCACAGGAAAATCTCGCCTGGCCCATGCTGTATCAACAGAAGTCAGAGCCACATTTTACTCTGTGTCCAGCACTGATCTAATATCCAGCTGGGTAGGAGAGAGTGAAAAGTGAGTTGGTATTCCGTTATACTTATCGGTATAGGTTTGGTTGCTTCAAAACATATTTGAACAATCAGACGGTTACTGGTACCATCGGAATTGGAACTCTTCGCTTGCTGCTGAAGATGGGGACTGAGCACTTATGGGAGTGTCCCGAGTGATGTGATGTCGATTTTTAATTCAACATTCAACCAAATATTTTTGATTATTTAAACTTTTTTTCATTGTGTTTTAGATGGCGTAATGGCTAATATTGGTTAACTGCTTCGCAACAGGTTTCATTATTTGATTTGATAAACTTCTTATATATGAGGGGATTTGAAATGAAAACTTTAAAAATGTTAAACACATTACAATAGCCATGCCAGTTTCTTGTAACGTGTCAATATTATTGTTAAGGTTGTCAAAAGTGTTAAGTACATGACATCACCGTGCAGATGAAATCTTCTACTCCACTCCTCCACTTGCTGGACTGACAGGCAGACATCCCCATACTGGACCGCAGTATTACATCCCAGCCGCCCTTTTGGGAGTAAACGCACAAGAAGACTGAGCTACAGTTGCTACACATTGAGCTTAGTCTGTGAATCAGTGGAGTCACTGTGCATCAGCGATTTCTACTCACAGAGCTTGGTCTGTGAATCAACAAATTCAGTGGAGTAATTATGCAGCAACAGTTTCTACCTACAGAGCTTAGTCTGTGAATCAGTGGAGTCACTGTGCATCAGCGATTTCTACTCACAGAGCTTGGTCTGTGAATCAGTGGAGTCACTGTGCATCAGCGATTTCTACTCACAGAGCTTGGTCTGTGAATCAGTGGAGTCACTGTACATCAGCAATTTCTACTCATAGAGCTTGGTCTGTGAATCAACAAATTCAGTGGAGTCATTATGCAGCAACAGTTTCTACCTACAGAGCTTAGTCTGTGAATCAGTGGAGTCAGAGTGCATCAATAATTTCTATCTGTTGAACTTTGAGTGGTTTAAAAACAAAGTAAAGGACCCTTTTCCACGCCTTTAGGCGTATAGGGCATATAGGGCTAGACCTATATTTTTATAGACCAACGGCACAAGATGGGTGATGTGGTCAGCATCACGCCGGCCGCCTCTACTTCCCGGGACTGCACCTGGTACCCACTCAAGGTTGGGTCGACCTGGGAGCCAAGGTCATTTTTTAAGAAAAGTCCGGCTCCGCCAGGGAGCGAACCCACGACCTTCTGATCCGCGGCTGGCGTCTAGCCGCTCGGCCACGGCGACTCCCTTGAATGGTTTTACATTAGCTATTTTGCTACTATCTTTGAACAATTTTACATTAGCTATTATGCTACTGTCTGAATGATTTTACACGAGCTATTATGCTACTGTCTTTAAATGGTTTTACATTTGCTATTTTGCTACTGTCTTTAAATGGTTTTACATTTGCTATTATGCTACTGTCTTTAAATGGTTTTACATTTGCTATTTTGCTACTGTCTTTGAATGGTTTTACATTTGCTATTATGCTACTGTCTTTAAATGGTTTTACATTTGCTATTTTGCTACTGTCTTTGAATACTTGTACATGAGCTTTTATGTTAATTACTTTGAATAAGTTTACATTAGCTCTTATGCTACTGTCTTTGAATGGATTTACATCAAATTTGACTTGTTCTAACGGCCCACAGAACGGTAGTTTAATTACAGTTATGCGGCCAATTTCAGCATCTACTGACTATTTGGTGCGTTTCCACCTTATGGAGACTGGCCTAGTGAGAACAAATATTCTGCAGTGTACAAAGTATGCAATCATGGTCACGATATGACCGCAGGTCGATTTATTATTTACAGGAGACAATAAGAGCGAACAGTTAAATTCCCTTTCAGAAATAGACTCTGACCTTAAACACTTTGCGTCAATAATAACTTATTTTCACGTCATTTTACTTTAATAGACATAAAGGTATATATGCTGACGTCCAAAAGTAATGCCCCCCTCCCTCCTCCCCCTTTTCCCCTCTTGTTCTGTGTCATCATTCTAATTTATGTTGGTTTACTCCAGGTTAATCAAAGAACTTTTTCGTCATGCAAGCAACCAACAGGGCCAGTCGGTAAATTTATTATTTTGTTAAACAGATGGTTGTTTTTAGAAGTTCAAAAAAAAAAAAAAAAAAAAGATCGTTTCTTATTCCATATGGCTCGGATTGTCTACACAGAACAACTAGTCGCTTGTCGAAAGCGTTCAGAAGATATAACCTACAAGATTTGTTACGAAAAACTAATAATGGATGGGTTTCCAGAAGAGATGTGCTGTCTATTATATTAACAAACAAGAAGTACAAGATAAATGATTTATTCTGTCATTTGTCAGTTTGATGTTTTGAACAACGGATCAACATCATGGCTGTAACCCATAAGTGCTCCGTTCTTTTTCTTGCTCAAATCCCAGTCCGAAGAAGCTCAGCACAATGCACAGGGTCTGTAGCACCGGGAAGGTTCCTGAAATACTTTGGGTAGATTTTTAACTCCAAATTTTAGGCTACTCTTTTCGATTTCCAACTGCCAAGGGATTTCTTTACGTGCGCAACAATGCACACGGGCGCCCAATCTCACTACCCAAAGACCATGGGGAATTACTAGAAGTCCAAGTCCACGTGAAAAAATCCCATGCCTTACCGGGGTTTGAACTCGGGAACTCTAGCACTCGAGGCGGACACCATGCCTCGAGACCACGCTGCCTCTTGTCATTTGTAAGAGATTACCCTCTAATATACTGCTATCTTTTTTCTTTATGTCCATGATTATGCTTATAAAATATTGTTTAATAATAGTTCACGTTAGCTTGAGGACTTTCGCAAAGATCAGTATTAATTGTTAATCAAAAGCAATGGCGAACTTCCTTCAGCCATCTCTTACCACAATATTTGACGCCCAGGATCCAAGAATCAGCTACAATAAACCAACATCTTGAGAGTTACAGTGAATCCAAAGTAGAACTGACATTGACTGCAGCTGACTTTGTACCACTAGGGTACCCCATTACCACAGTTTTATACAACTCAGAGAGGTGGGGATTGTGCGAGGGGGCGGGAAAGGGGGGTGGGGGTAAATCCCGTCAACGTTTACTCTTACATAAACAAAATTTAAACAAGACCTGTTTAGCCGCAACGAGTTCCCCGATTATAACTTCTGTGAGGGTTGAATGGGGATGTATGTACCTGTTAGTCTACCGTTCAGGAGAAGATTCTTGAAGTCTTAGGTGTTGCCAAACCTTCAGGTAGAAACCAAGAGGTGACGCAAACGACGGCCACTAAAAAAAAAAAAAAAAGACGATGTTTGCATTGGAAACTAAGGGTACTGGGTTCGTTTGACGGCTGCTTCGTTCGATTCACGAGTGCAATTTTTACGGAATCCGCAAGGGATAGTCGCCAGAGCTACGGCGTTGGTGCTTTGTGTGACGCTGTCGGAAGTCTGCTAGCCGTTCTGCGCTGAGAATCTGAGCCATAAGGGGTAAAACCGAGTCTAAGAAAGACGATTTTTTTCTTTGGTAGGTAGGTGCTTTGCTCTGGGGGGGGGGGGGGGGAAGAATCATCACGTTCATCCAGCATTCCCGAAGGCGGAACATTAGGTTATAATTGTGACTAGGTTTTTTGCACCATATCAAATAGCTTAGCATTGCACGCCACCAAAAGCCCCGAAAAGAACTCATGCAGTGTTGATGCGATTTAGGAGACAGACCTAAATATTGTCTCGACCGGTGACGAAGTCGTCTACCGGCGAGCCAATGGGCGACACGGTCGCCGATGCGATTTACTTGAATTCAACCTTTAACTTTAAAAGAAAGAAAGAACCCATGTTCCCTTTTGCAACCTATGGTACACACACACACACACACACACACACACACATATTTAAATAATCTACATGCATCCATCTTTATACTAATGAGAAGTCGCAACTGAAACACTTACAAATGTGCAGGTAATATTTATTGACGAGATCGACAGCCTGTGTCGACATCGCAGTTCTCAAGAAGATGAAGGCACCAGACGCATGAAAACTGAACTGCTCATACAAATGGATGGAGCTGAGAGGAAAAATCAAGAGAAAATATTCCTTCTCTGTGCTACTAACTGTCCTTGGGATCTAGACACTGCATTTCTCAGGCGCTTTCAGAAGAGAATTTATATTAAATTACCAGACCAGTAAGTAATGCTAAATTGCTATTCATATGCTGTTGTATTTGTGAGACCGTCTGCTATTTATTAAGTGTATTTATCTTGTCCGTGTCCCGAGTTTGACGTGTCAGGGTGACGCTAGCGACTGACCACGATCGCCTGTCCATCTGTATGGGGGTCTCCTGGAAAACAGAGGCTCAGCCATGTAATTAAGGAAACATCAACATTGAAGTGTGCTGTGAGGAGGTCGCGGGCGGGGGGGGGGATAGCTCGTGACACCAGGTTATTTCAGTTTTCACATAAGACAGTGATAGTTGGAGAACCAGTAACGACATATATAACAAAAGTTAAATGCATTCAAAAACAATCGACGACATGGAACAAAAGTTAAATGCATTCAAAAACAATCGACGACATGAAACAAAAGTTAAATGCATTCAAAAACAATCGACGACATGGAACAAAAGTTAAATGCATTCAAAAACAATCGACGACATGAAACAAAAGTTAAATGCATTCAAAAACAATCGACGACATTGAACAAAAGTTAAATGCATTCAAAAACAATCGACGACATGGAACAAAAGTTAAATGCATTCAAAAACAATCGACGACATTGAACAAAAGTTAAATGCATTCAAAAACAATCGACGACATTGAACAAAAGTTAAATGCATTCAAAAACAATCGACGACATGGAACAAAAGTTAAATGAATCCAAAAACAATCGACGACATGGAACAAAAGTTGAATGCATTCAAAAACATTCGACGTCATGGAACAAAAGTTAAATGCATTCAAAAACAATCGACGTCATGGAATAAAAGTTAAATGCATTCAAAAACAATCGACGTCATGGAACAAAAGTTAAATGCATCCAAAAACAATCGCCTAAGAAAAAAAAATGAACTTAAAATGGGATGAATTCAAAAGGGACGAAGAAGTAAGAGAAATGGCTTGGCACCCGCTTAGTATCACCAGTTATAAGACAGAGAAGGTGGTGCTATTGTGGACACATCTTTAGATGAAACAAGCAGAGAACCACTAGCCAGGCGATAAAATGGGAAATACAGGGATTGCAGCTACAGTCTGTATATAACTACAAAGTAATTAGTAAATAGCGTGTGTGTAATGATCAGTTTTTCTGCAATTTTGTTCTCTGAAATCTTGTTCAACACTCTGTGAGAACTTTAAGCCCTTGTAAGTGCTAAACTAATCCAGAAACATATTATGACTTTAGAATATGTTAGGAAATTGAACAAACTTCAAAGTGTTATACTCAGATTTGAATATTCATATTTATTAGTGATTATTGAAGTACTTTACATTCTCTATTGCCTTTTTTTTTTTACACCACCCCTTCAGCTATTTGTGTAAAGGGAAGTTAATTTGGGCCAATTCTGTAAAAATTCAAGGGCCTGGAAAGAGTTAGGAAAGGGAGGACGTCCAGGAGAAACCCCAAAACGAACTTTGATAAGAGAGACCTAAGTTGCTGGGCTGGATTCCATCCATGATATTGAGCTGACTGCACAGGATAGAGAGGAATAGAAGGGATAGGCGAGCCCAGTGTGACATATCATGGCACAACAAAACAATGAATTAATGTTCTAAACAATGTTTTCCCGTAATTAATTTAAATCATGTGGACACAAACAATACATTGCAAAATTTATTTGCCAAGCATATTTCTCTGTATCTCATCAGCTGCGTTACTACAGAGCTACATTAACATCAAATGAATCACAAAACTGAATAAATCCAACTGAAATGCTAAGTTTTTTTTCGACACATCATGTGTGTGTGTTTTGGCGGCTGGAAGCTCACTGTAGTGAATTAATGAATGAGAACAGGAAAGTTGACAGGAGGTGAGGCAGAGGGGGTTGAAAGAAAAGGTTCTGGACACACATTGTCATCATTGCATGGAAATACATCTGTATCAGAAATAGTATACGAAACGTTTATTACAGTGTGATCTAACTGTAGCTTTAAAAAAAATCCAAAGGACATTTCCTTACACTTTCAGTATGTGGATTTTAGTTCTAGTAAAACATTTCTTCATAGCCGCTGTGTTGTAGCGGTCTGACACTCCACCTTGAGGCCCACATCATACAGTTCCTCATGTTGTGGTGACCCCCAACCATAACATTATTATCGTTGCTACTTCATAATTTCAGTGAATATGTGTTTTCCGATGGTCTTAGGCGACCCCTGTAAAATGGTGGTTCGACCCCCAAAGATATCGCGACCGTTAGGTTGAGAACCACTGTACTGTCATGCTCTTGAAGTAACACATTTTCGTGTTTTAATCTGCGGTACAGCAATTCTAGAATAGAACTTATGAAACTGCACTGCCATGGTAGCAAGGTAGACATGTCACAGTCCGACTGGGAACAACTAGCATCTCAGACTGATGGCTTCTCAGGGAGTGACCTCTCAACTTTGACCACTGGCGCCCTGTTACAGCCAATCAGAGAATTGCAAACGGCCACACACTGGAAACAAGCATCAGGTACTTCAGTTTTAGAGATTGCATTTATCATGTGTGAGTGTGTGTGTGTGTGTGTGTGAGTGCGTGCGTGTGTGGCTGCGTACGTACGTGTGTGCGTGAGTGCGTGTGTGTGTGTGTATATATATATATATATATATATATATATATATATATATATATATATATAACTGTTTCTATATGCGACTAAGACTAGGCTTCTGGAAGGACAAATCCAGCAGCCCTATGTGCACCGAATGCTGTGAGTACAACAAAGTCGAACACTACCTGCTAACGCGCTAACGCGAGAAGTACAATGAGCTCAGAACTGACCTGAGAAACCATTTCACCATAACCAATCAAGCAATGACGACTAGGGCCTGCCTCCACGTTAATAGCAGCCCGCTAGTCCAGGAAATGGTGAAACAGTTTATCTGTTGATACAGAGGAGGAGCTGCATAACTTCACGTAATTCCAGAAGAAACCAACTGTCAACGAGATCCCAGATTGTTCAAGGCCTGCGGCATCCAGTCCAGAGAACCCTCACTTCTCATCTAGCAAGCTATCTTTTGCCCTCACTCCTTCGTCCTTTCTTTATGTCCCACGCAGCATTCATGCATTCCAGGTGTTTCTTTTTCATCTCTGTTACATCGCAACTACAGGAGTGCCTCTAGCGTAAGTCAGGGTGATGCGGCAATAATCAAGAATTTTTCTAAATCTGCTTGACATTAGGTTTGCAGTTTGTTTTTTCTTCTTCTTCTTTTCTTAAGTACTGAAACCGCTTTGAGGGTAGGCGTGCCAAAAACTTTTTTTTTGCCCGACGAAGAAAAGTTTGAGAATCACTGAGTTAGCGTATCGTTAGCCCGGTTTAGTGACATCAGCAGTGTGTCCCGTCAGCTGGAGCTGGTCTTGGTTACAACCTGGTTTCAGTGAAACGACAGACCCACGACACTGAGCTACAACCTGGTATCAATGAAACGACAGACCCACGACACTGAGCTACAACCTGGTATCAGTGAAACGACAGACCCACGACACTGAGCTACAACCTGGTATCAGTGAAACGACAGACCCACGACACTGAGCTACAACCTGGTATCAGTGAAACGACAGACCCACGACACTGAGCTACAACCTGGTATCAGTGAAACGACAGACCCACGACACTGGGCTACAACCTGGTATCAGTGAGACGACAGACCCACGACACTCGGCTATAACCTGGTATCAGTGAGACGACAGAACCACGACACTCGGCTATAACCTGGTATCAGTGAGACGACAGAACCATGACACTCGGCTACAACCTGGTATCAGTGAGACGAAAAAACAACGACACTGAGCTACATCCTGGTATCGGTGAGAAAACAAAACCATGACACTGTGCTACAACCTGGAATCAGTGAGACGACAAAACCACTACACTGGGCTATAATCTGGTATCAGTGAGACGACAAAACCACGACACTGTTCTATAACCAGTGAGACGACAAAACCACGACACTGGGCTACAACTTAGTATCAGTGAGACGACAAAACCACGACACTCGGCTACAACCTGGTAACAGTGAGACGACAAAACCACGACACTGGGCTATAACCTGGTATCAGTGAGACGACAAAACCACGACACTGAGCTATAACTTGGTATCAGTGAGACGACAGAACTACGACAGTGAGCTACAACTTGGTATCAATGAGACGACAGAACTACGACACTGAGCTACAACTTGATATCAGTGAGACGACAGAACCACGACACTGAGCTACAACTTGGTATCAGTGAGACGACAAAACAACGACACTGAGCTATAACCTGGTATCAGTGAGACGACAAAACCACGACACTGGGCTACAACCTGGTATCAGTGAGACGACAAAACAACGACACTGAGCTATAACCTGGTATCAGTGAGACGACAAAACAACGACACTGAGCTACAACTTGGTATCAGTGAGACGACAAAACCACGACACTGAGCTATAACCTGGTATCAGTGAGACGACAAAACCACGACACTGAGCTATAACCTGGTATCAGTGAGACGACAAAAGAAGAAGAAGATTATGAAATTGTTCTTGATTTCAATTTGAATTTTGCCAAGAACAGGGCTTTTATCTTTCTGCTGGTATGCGAGCGTAATTTTTTTTCCAAAGGTGTCCTTCACTACCTTCACCACCTCCAGCCCTTCCATTCCCCCCCCCCTCCCCCCCCCCCCCCCTCCGTGCTAATCTGAGACTTTGTGGTAAGTACCGGCACTTTTTTTTTACACTTTGTGGTGAGCAGTGGCGCTTTTTGTTTTTTAAAGACACTTGACAAAGGTATCTGCCCCCCCCCCCCCCTTTTTTTTCCACAACCAAGCCCTAGCCATTGGAAAGACGAAGATTCTCTTAATTGTAATTATAATTAATTGGATGGTACTGAGCCATAGCCTTTTATTGGTGATTTTCTAGTCATTGACGTGAAATGCCTCCTTGTGCTTTATTTGTGAAGTACTCGTTGGTGTATCTGCCTATAGTTGTTCTGTTTACCAGGTTCAACGGTTTACCCTGTGTAATTAGGATAACAAATCCAAAAGTTGCAAGTAATAATGAGCCACGGCCAGCTCAAAAATTTATACATATGCAGCCGGACGTGAATGAGCTTAGTTCCCCACTCCACACCCAACAACAACAACGAAACTCTTTATATCTGAAGATGCTGAAAACGTAAAATTCTTTTGTATCTAGATGGTGTGTGGCTACCAAGTGATAGCAAGAATAAACAAGCTTTTAAAATCGGAATCACGGACTTGCCTCCAGAAAAGGTAACGTGACGTCTTGCTTTTTTTAGTCTGAACAATACATTTCACAAACTGTGACCTTTTAAGGATCTGTTTCAATCCAGTCAACGTGCCCGTCTCTCTAGCGAAGTTGGCTAAACCGGATTTCGCGGTGAGCGGGTGACGAACTCCTTGTGGTCCGGGTTCACTCCCGGGGGTGGGCAGAAAAGCCACATTTTCTCCCAGATTTACGGTATTTAAAATGGAATCAAGGCCGAAAGGTTGCGATATCCATAATACCGAGCCTAAGGGTTAACAACTCATGGCTTCTGGATACTAAAACAAAACAATCCAGTCAACGTTGATGGCTGGGTCAGATGGTCAGCCGTGCTCACCGCCAGAAGTACACATGTCCACTGGCGTGGCGTGAAAAAAATCTAACTCATAACTCACACATTTCAAAGTGATCCTAACTTTTACTCCCTGATAGAAACTCTATTAATTCTTTATCAACTTTAATTAACCAATTTTCAAATTTTTTTTTTTCAAGTGAGTAGACTAACGCAAAACCAGAATATATTCCAGGGCAAAAACGCCGTTCATCAACCACGCTTCTATCGTAACAAAGCAACAGGATAACGTGAAATGCATCTAAATACACCTAAACGCACGTGATGTTTGTTTTCCTTGTATCTCATCAGATTTAGGTGATGTATATTGCCATTTCACCCCCGAGAATTACGGTTCTTAGCAATTGGTAAGAAAAGTGGAAGACGTGTTAGCTCTTCCATATCAGTTAGGGCACAGAAAACGGAAGACTAGTTAATTTGTCTTTAGCAGTCTACCGGGCGGACGTATATATACGTCCACAGCAGTGAAAGGCTTAAACTGTATCGCACTGAGGAGCGGCATAGAAGTTACGGTTTCCACTTCATGTTGAAGAGGCACCTAGTTTAAATCCCGATAGAGGGCTTAGAATTGTTACAACAGTTGTTGGTGTCTTGGATGTTTTTGAGTTTTGTCGGTTGCCCTATGTATTTATTGCATGTGTATGCTATTGGCTTTGTCGAGACTGCAGTCTCTTTCAGTTGCTTCACAGGGAACATCAGTAAGAATTCTGTGTAGTTTTGACTGGCACAGGAATTTGGAAATTATGGGATGCCTTGTTTGGTCTAAAGTTAAACCTACGAATATAAAAATAACTAATACACATTTTTCCTTTTGGTTACCAACTTTCTCGCACAAAAAGCCAAAAGCCATTTGCGTAAGTTATTCTCATAAACAATGGCACTAGAAGAAATCAAAAAAAAAAATAAAAGGCTTCAAAATTAAATTCCTTTTAACTCATCATGTCCTATTTGTACCTTGCTCCATTTGTACCTTGCTCCATTTGTACCTTGCTCCATTTGTACCTTGCTCCATTTGTACTTTGCTCCATTTGTACCTTGCTCCATTTGTACTTTTCTCCATTTGTACCTTGCTCCATTTGTACTTTGCTCTATTTGTACCTTGCTCCATTTGTACTTTGCTCCATTTGTATATTGCTCCATTTGTACTTTGCTCCATTTGTACCTTGCTCCATTTGTACTTTTCTCCATTTGTACCTTGCTCCATTTGTACTTTGCTCTATTTGTACCTTGCTCCATTTGTACCTTGCTCCATTTGTACTTTGCTCCATGTGTACCTTGCTCCATTTGTACTTTGCTCCATTTGTACTTTGCTCCATTTGTACTTTGCTCCATTTGTACTTTGCTCCATTTGTACTTTGCTCCATTTGTACCTTGCTCCATTTGTACCTTGCTCCATTTGTACCTTGCTCCATTTGTACCTTGCTCCATTTGTACTTTGCTCCATTTGTACCTTGCTCCATCTGTACTTTGCTCCATTTGTACTTTGCTCCATTTGTACTTTGCTCCATTTGTACTTTGCTCCATTTGTACTTTGCTCCATTTGTACCTTGCTCCATTTGTACCTTGCTCCATTTGTACCTTGCTCCATTTGTACTTTGCTCCATTTGTACCTTGCTCCATTTGTACTTTGCTCCATTTGTACCTTGCTCCATTTGTACTTTGCTCCATTTGTACTTTGCTCCATTTGTACCTTGCTCCATTTGTACTTTGCTCCATTTGTACCTTGCTCCATTTGTACTTTGCTCCATTTATACTTTGCTCCATTTGTACCTTGCCAAGTCGGGGTGAGAAATGAACAGAGGAAGAGTGCCCATTTGCCCACTGCCTGCATAGAGGTTGTCAGAGAATCGGTCATTCCTTTTGTCGATAGTTTATTTATTAGAAAATAAAACCTACCTACAGATAGAGCCGGTTAAGATTGGATATGTCCGACTTCAACAAACATGTTTCAAACTCAGGCACATTTGCATCAGGTGCAACTCACTAATCTTCTTCTTTTTCTTCTTCTTCTCTTATTCTTACTTTTTCTTTCTTCTTTCTTCTTCCGCTTATCGCTTATTCTCCTTCTTCGTCTCTATCTTCTTTTTCCTTATTCTCATCTTCTTCTTCTTCTTCTTCTTCTTCTTCTTTTTTCTTCTTCTCTTGTTTCTTCTTCTTCTTCTTCTTCTTCCTTATTTCTTCTTCTTCTTCCTTTCTTCTTATTCTTCTTCTTCTTCTCTTCTTCTTCTTCTTCTTCTTCTTCTTCTTCTTCTTCTTCTTCTTCTCTATT